GAGTGTTGGTGAGTGCTGGTGAGTGGCGCGCGCGTGTTTGTGTGGCTATGTAGACACATCTCTTGTCGGGCCGCCACCACCACCAGCAGCAGCGGCGGTCATTATGGCTCCGGCAAACACCAATTACAGCCCTCCCGGCTCCCTTTTTGTTTTTTACGATCAGAGGAAACAAGAAGATGCTCGGTGTAGTCGGCACTTTGCTCCGTTCATCATTTAGTTTTTTTTAATGCTTTGCTTTATGTAACCCCCCCCTCTCTATCCCATCTCTCCCTACTCGATGTCTATGTTCCCCCTGTTTTGTATTTTAAAAATTGTTATTTTTTTACTACGGCACTTTCTCTCTCATATTTCTCTCTTTCGCTCCCCACTCCCCCCCCCCCTCTCTCGCTCCCCAATCTCTCTCCCTCTCGTTCCCCACTCCCTCTCTCGCTCCCCTCTCTCTCTCGCTCCCCAATCTCTCTCCCTCTCGTTCCCCACTCCCTCTCTCTCTCCCCTCTCTCTCGCTCCCCAATCTCTCTCCCTCTCGTTCCCCACTCCCTCTCTCTCTCTCCCCTCTCTCTCGCTCCTCTCTCCCTCTCGTCCAATTTGAGCCGAGGGGGCGGTGCGGCCGCTGCGAAACAGAAATCATCTCTCCCCGTCCTCCTCCTCCCCGCCAGCTCCGGGATAATGAATGAGCTCTGGGGAGGAGGCGAGGATAGTCACAAGGTGGCCACACGTACAGCCTCCCCCCACCTGTGTACGTGTACACACACGCGCGCGCGTGTGTGTGTGTGCGTGCGTGTGGGGAGCGGTGGTGGAGCGGTTAGCGCGCTGCGCTACGAACCCAGAGACCTGAGTTCGATTCCCTCTCACGGCCAACAACCAGTGACGATTATCTGAACCGGTGCTGGACCTCCCCAAGGTCAACTCAACCTCAAATGAGTAGCTGGTGCGGTGTGCAAACATCGTGTGCCGTGCCGGCCGTCATAGGCGCTCGCTAACAGCACTTGCCCCGACAGTCTGTTAAGGCTACACGGGGGATATTTGTTGTGGTGTTGTTGTTGTGGTGGTGTTGTTGTTGTGGTGGTGTTGTTGTTGTGGTGGTGTTGTTGTTGTGGTGGTGTTTTTGTTGTGGTGGTGTTCAATTTTTCTGCGCACCACTGTCAAGGCATCGTCAGCATCCTCGCAACAATTCATTGTTTAAAGTAGAAAGGGAACGACGCTCGTTATGAAGCTTGCCAAAAGGCCGCAGGGAAATGGTGGAAATTCCACGGTCATATGGCGGGACTAGCGCTTTTAACGAAAACCACCGTCGATGATGATGATGACAACCAGGGCGATTATGATGATGGTGATTGTGTTGATGATGATGTTATTTTTTTAATGACGTGTTTTTGACAATGGTGATACCGCTGTTGATGATGATGATGCTGCTGACGAAACTACTAATGATGAAACAAATAATGGTGATGATGACCTTTAGTTTTGGAACAAATTATGATGATGATCCGATCTGACCCATGATCCTATTTTAAAATCTTCACGATGACCCGCATCGCACCGATCCACGTTGCCCGTGATAACGCCGATTCTGTCAATCATTTTGATGCGGATTAGATTGATGATGTCCATGATGTCGATTAATCGGGTGTTGGGATAATGATGATGTTGTTGATGTCCATGATGTTCATGATGTCGATGATGTTGATTATTTCCATGATGTCGATGATGATGTTGATGGCGCTGTCGATGATGTCGACGATGTTGATGATGATAACGATGATGTCGATGTAATCGATGGCCTTGCTCTCGTCCAACTCCTCGTGGTCCTTGCTTCCTCCACGATGAACAAACCGGAAGTCTTCACTGTGCGACTCGCTCGCCTGACGAGACTCCATCCATCTCGAGCCCCCCCCCCCCCGCATCCCCCCGCCCCCTCCACCCTACGTCGTCACGGTGACCTGTAGATCTGATGGTCTTAATTGGCCCCCTGGGGACCAGGGGTGGGGGTTGCGGGGTGGGGGGTTTGGGGAGGTCGAGGCCGGACCCCCCTCCACCTATCCCACCCCCCAACTATCCCCCCCCCCCCCGTGGTCACGTGGTCCTTATTAGACTCGAGAGACCCAGCGCTAAGGACACTACTGCTTTGTGCGTGTTGATTTTTTTTACGTTTCTAAAGTCGTGCGTCTTGGCCATCGCTCTAACAATGGAACTAATCGAATAATGAATTTTAGAACAGCTCCCCTTTGACCATACTTAACCACGCTGATTGCGTGAGGGTTGGTGAAGATTGGACAGCAGTCGACAACTCACTGATGCTCGCCGTGAACTGGAACCGAACTCAAGTGGCCGGGTTCGTTGCGTAGCGCTCCCGCAGCTGCACAATTAAAACCTGCAGCTGCAGAGCGAGCCCGTTGAGCTGTGTGTGTGTGTTCAGAAACCATATCAACTGAGCTGCAACACGTGGGCTCAGACACCCTGCCAGAACAATGCCGCGATGTCACGCAGAGCCTGGGTTCGAATCTAGGTTTCAGCCACTGCCTGTGATCAGCCCGGTAACCAATCAATCAATGACTTGCATAGAGACCCACTGACTTGCTTGGACCGAGTTGCAGCGAGTTGATGATCTGAGGTCGGGTCACCAATGACTCCACGCAACAACAACAAAATTCCCATCACGTAAAATGTAGTCCATTTAATTCGGCTAAATTCCAGTTCAGATAATTAAAACATATCGGGTGGACTTGTCTTAAGGAAGAATATCACTCTCGTACGGCAGAGCAGTCCTCTAATTTGTGGACCAGATTGTCCATTGAATGCCTTTTCTTTTGCAAATCGCTCAAGTTTTGGTGTGAATGTATTTTTTACATTAAAATTGCAGTGTAATGTTTTCATTAAAACAATGTTTTTATCTGTAATTGCGGAATGCTTCAATGTTGCTCAATGGGCTTTACTCGGAAAATAAACTTCTGATTCTGATCAGGGGTAGCTCTGTCATGTCTACTTTAGGACGGCCGTATTCTAACACGGAAGGCGACATCACCAAAGTCCATCGACAGCATGGATGAGTTTAAGACCGGCCTGAAACCCCGTTCATTTTCTCTTCTGGTAATACTCCGATTCACGTCACCCCCTTTGCTAACGCCGTTTCGCAAACACGTCGCCACTTTGCTATGAACGCCACCACTGCCTCATTTGCGTCGCCTCAACCTACACTTACGTCGCTCACGGCATCGTCCGCTCTTTCTCGTGTCCGTCTCCTCTCAGCCTTCGCCTCCAGCCACATACGCTGCAAATCGCTTTGAATCTGCGTCGTTTCGATATTGGTCGTTGGCACCTTTCAGTGACGTATCTCCGATGTAAACCGGGGAATTACTGCGGTTTAAATTGTATATGTTCCATCCACGCTCCCAACGTCTCAGCGTTTGTTGTTGCTGCTGACTATGGCCACGCGTTACAAATCTTGGATCGATTAACTGGGGTGCGCCGCGGTGGCTATGAGATGTTAACTACCTCGCCGGGTATGCAGGAGGTCGTGGGTTCGATCCCGACCCTGACGCCTGTTGTATATTTGGAGTTTTGCGGTGTGTCTCTCTCTCTCCCTGTGGTGGCGCGGATTTTTCTCCGGGTCCTCCGGATTTTCCTTCCACATTTAGAATCAACATCACGCGTTTAAGAGTACAGTAAAACCTTGGATTGCGAGCATAATTCGTTCCGGAAACGTGTTTGTAATCCAAAGCACTCGTATATCAAAGCACTCGTATATCAGTTGTGATCACGTGACGCTCGGCAGACAAGGCGTATACGTGCCACTCGTATTGCGAGACCCTCGCTCGTTCATAAAATTAATATTTATTTACAAAATTTTGCTCGTCTTGCAAAACACTCGCAGACCAAGTTACTCGCAATCCAAGGTTTTACCGTATTCGCCTGCTTTAAATGTCCACGTGACGATAATCCCAATTCGTTGAAGCTATCACACGTGTTCGCCAGGTCGCTTCTGAAAAAAAGATCTATACAGCCCAGTGGTTACCTTACCTGCTACAATTAAAATAGTTTTTAGTTGAGACTGACTGACTGATTATAATCTAGTTGTTGTTTTTTTTAAGACGCAGATCTACAATTTCTACGGTGGATGGTTAGTGTGTGTGTGTGTTTTTTTTTTTATAAACGTGTGTTTTTACCGCGATCTAGACCCGCTAATCAAAACCTTCCTAACGCGGGCCCTGCGGTCCGCCGCCTCATTACGATCTCGGCGAAACTTGTGAACACTGACAATGAGTCTGAAAACAATAATCTCGGTTCGCGTGAGGTGTTAATGGAAAATATAATACACTGTGACATGAACAGCCAACGAGCACGCGTGCGCACGGACACGCGCACACACATGCACGTACAAGGACGCACACGTACATGGTGGACTTAATAAAATACCTTATTTTGTATGCAGTATATGACTTATATAAGGCCACGTGCAAACATTCAGATGCTTTGCTATGCAAGTCTACGGTTAAATATACATCTATAGTTCATACGCATAATGTATTTGTCCTTTGTTAATTTACTGGGTACGATTAAATATTATGCTAATCTAAGGGTATGGACAACCATAGAAGTCTTCGAGTCCTCTGTAACTCGATGGGTTTTATGTAATTTTATAGACTTTGTGTAAGTCTATGGGCTTTATGTAACTCTATTCGTCCTATGTAACTCTATGGCCCCTGTGTAAGTCTATGGGGTATATGGGTTCTGTGTAAGACTATGGGCCCTATGTAAGTATATGGGTTCTGTGTAAGTCTATGGGCTCTATGTAAGTATATGGGTCCTGTGTAAGTCTATGGCCCCTATGTAAGTATATGGGCCTATGTAAGTCTATGGGTACTGTGTAAGTCTATGGGCTCTATGCAATGTAATGTAACCAAGCCACCACCTCGTGAACGTGATTGGCTGCCGTAAGTGCACCATTACTGGATACACGTCATACGTATTGCGCGATGACGTAAAACGCATTTTCACCAAACGTAACGCGCGATGGTGTGCGCGTATGCGTCATGACGTAACGCGTTATACGGGATGACGTAACCACCACGCGTTGACATCACGCGTCTTCTCTCACCCATCGGATTTCCGCCATTGAATTCAATTCTCGGGTTTAAATCCGCGTCCATCCGTCATGTCGTGAGTGTTCGCGCATCGCCATCGCACACTCATTCGCACTTTCACTCCCTTTTCACCTCCACAGTGGCGACGAATTTTTCGTTTGGCGGCCGATGTTTATGTATTAATCGCTTTGGTTGTGTGCTAGGCCTCAGCAAGGCCTAGTAGGCCGAGGCTTTACGCGGCTGTTTTTAGTTTCAATTAAGTTTCATTTTAATTCTATGTTTTTGTTTTGTCCAGTCCGTGTTGTTTGTGACGACAAGATGCGTCCCGTAACTTTTTAGCGCGGCGCGCGAGCTTATGTTGCCTGTGGTTAAATATGTGCACGGTTGATAGGTGATGTTAATCGTGAGTGCATTGAAGCCATCGGTGGTGATGGCCGTGAGTTGCAGGCCGTTTCGGCGGTGGTGATGGTTAGTTTGTGATGGTGATGCACTTGAAGCTGGTGGTGATGGTACCATAGTGATGGGGACGCGAGAAACTTGCTGCCGGTAACGGTTAAAAGTTATGTTGGAGATAATTGCTGCGTTGAAGCTCGCGGTGATGGTTGAGTGGCAATGGTGGTGGTGATATTGGTGTAGTTGTTGGTTAAGCTGGGTGTGGTGGTAATGTGGCATTTGGAGCGTTACGTTATGGTGATGAAGACAAGGTAATGTTTATTAAACATTGCCCCATGTTCGACTTGGCGTGGTGAGGCCTTAAATTATGATTTATTATTGAAAGCACGCTAACCGCTTTTGTTAAACTCGCGGGCCACATTGCTCGGCTCTCAATCTTTACACTTTCTCACGTGAACAATCTCCTTCTATGGGCGATAACATTAATATTGTTCTACCAACGTTGTGGGAAGCTAGCAATGATTATAATCCAATCGCTTCACAACCCCCTTTCCACGTGAATGTGGAATTTCCACCACTGGTTCTGGGCCACTAACATGTCTAAACCCCGCCACCCTATTATTGCTCCTTTGGCAACCGGCTGGCTAAACGGGATCGTCTGTATAACAAATGAAAATAAACGTTAACTTTTAGCTGGGGGACGAATTGTTAGTGTTGCAGTATTTACTGCGACTTTCACTCGCAAAAGAGACGCATGTATCAACTGTAAACTAACCGGGTCCATTCAGAGTACAATAAATCTTTCACCAAAGGAGACCTGGATCACAAAGCGAGAGAGCACACACATAAACAAAGACTTAAAAGAATGGTCAAAACAACACAAGACTCGTATCACCTTTCAAACTCGTATCAAGTTCAACAATTCAACACACGTCGCGGTGAATTCGCCCGGTTCTCAAAAGTTCATTGATTTTCTGCTCCCGTAGGCAGAAATGGCTTGAGGAGGGGGGAGGTCTAACTTCCAGCAGTGGATTGGGGTCATGTCTGGTTATGATGATGAGTGGCTGATCATGTTACACGGTCAGTTCTGTGTATAGGAGGTTGATGATCTCAGCTCGGTTTTAAGTAAGTGGGTTTTAAATTGGCAATAGGAGAAATGGTTAGACCCATTGTCATGCATTAACAACAGCTTAGCGGGTTGGAGTGCTTTTAGAAAATGTAACTTAATAATGAAAGACAATAAATAAATGTGCATATAAAAAAGGCAATTTTAATCGTGGTTGTATTACCTGCAATGGCTGAGTAAGCATAAACATTGACGATGAATGGATCAAAAGCTGGAACAGTGCCCTAAGAAGTGTGGCCATGTGCATGCTTAGAATTACACAAACGATAAGACCAACACACGCGTTATTGGACATACCCAAGTAACAACATCGTAGTGACTTTTGATATTGGCTGGAAAATAAATGATGGCAGGACACGTCTCTTAACATGGATGCGGCTCGTGGTCGAAGTTCAGCTTATCAAAACAAAATAATATCCCTCTGTTGCATATCAATGAATGCATTTATATGGAAGGAGTGGACCGCACGGTTGATTGCCGAACAGCATTTATGAACCCGGCCCCCTGAGTTTTATTCCTAGCCATGGCTTACATCAGTGGCGAGTGATATCTGAGCTGGTGCTGGGCCCTCATCAATCAAAGTGTATTGGTCGCATACACAGTTAAGCTGATGTTATAGTGGATGCAGCGAAATGCATGAGTTGTCAGCTCCATAATAGAATGTCTTAACAAATAAAAAAAAAATGGGGAGAAAAAAATCACGAAAATTCATGAAGCCATTTCAATCATGGTGATTGTTTGACCATACTTCATCGTGCTGGTCAGTACCGGTCGGTAAGGGGGGGGGGGAGCCAAGCCGGGTTTTAGATTTCGCAGCACTCATCTTAGCCGTGGTCAGGAACCAAACTCATGCCACCAATACCTGAACCGCTGCTACACCCCAAATGCATTTGGTGAAAGTATAAAGGACGCATATGATCTTATCCCCTTCGCAAGTGAGATACGTTTAATGGAATTAGTATGCAGTCTATTTTTGTTATTTAATGAAAACAAGATGAATGGCACCGATTCGAATTAAAACTAGTGATTCTGAAAATCATCAACGAATCGACGTGTGCCATCATGCAAAGAACAATTTGTAATTGTTCGTACATGTATTCTCTCAGTAGCCTACGGCAACTTTTTATGCACAATAGTTCTCCAAGCACTGCTTAGCTTAGCTCTGACGAGATTGGCTAACATGCACAATGATTTTGTTCCTTTGAGGATATATATTTTTTTTAGTGTTGCATCTTTAAAATGTATATAACCTTCAAGCGAAAGTTTTGCAGCGAGTTGGTTGTTAAGGGCACCGTGACCCCTTCCCCCCCCCCCACCCCCCCCCCCCCCCCCCCCCGGCAGTCTCCTTAACAAACCGAAGAGCGAGATGACGCCCGAGGAGCTGTCGAAGCGCGAGGAGGAGGAGTTCAACACGGGCCCGCTCTCCGTGCTCACGCAGTCCGTCAAGAACAACACACAGGTCCTCATCAACTGCCGCAACAACAAGAAGCTGCTGGCGCGAGTCAAGGCCTTCGACAGGTGCGGTGGGGTGGGGGGTGGATGGCGACAAGCTCGCCAAGACGATGGCGGCGTTGCCAAACGTTGGGGTTTGGTGCAGCATACCAACGGCCGTGGTGGTGCTGTCGCCTCTTGTGGAGATGGTAGTCGTAATGGTGTCGGTGGTATTTTCTCCCCAGTGGCGATGTTTACACACCGCACCAAGTAGTGTGGGGGAGCGGTAGTGCAACGGTTGGCCAGCTGCACCGCGAACCCGGCGACCCGGGTTCGATTCCCGCTCAGTGTCGACAGCAGTGACAATTGTCTGAATCGGTCCTGGGCCTCCAAGCTCGACTCGGCCTCAAATGATTACCTGATGTGGTGTGTAGTGAACATCGCCAAAGGGCAGTAGGGAGTGGTGCTGGCCACAAACCCCCTGGTGTCCTGTGCCAGCCTTTATAGGTGCTCGTTATCAGTACTTGCCCCCAACAATCTGTTGCAGGCCATACAGGGGATCTTTGACTTTGGTGGTTGTGATGGTGGCGCCTGTGCGTCTGGTGAAGTTGGGTGTGGTGAGGGTGCTGCCCATGGTGGTGGTAGTAATGATGGTGGTGATGATGGTTTTGTTGTGATTATGCTGGTGGTTAGACTTGTATTGATTAACTCCCCCTCCGACCACCATTTCGAAAAATGATTAAAGTCATAACGTTGCCCTTTTTCCACTGCCGCATTTGCGCTCCCTCTGCCTTACTGCACGACGTTGATTCCACCTGCTTGCGGCAGCGCTAGCAGCCACCGTTGCAACTGCTCGCCCCAATACTTAACTCAATCCAAACGAAAACTCTGCGGGAGATCGCATTGTTCCGTCAAATCGCTCCCGCGCGCTGTCGAGTGCCAATTACAAGCACCTCGTATTGACTCGATGCTAGCAGCGCGGACACACGAGACCGCCGCCACAGCATCGTTGACAGATTTATTTTTTACTTTTACCTTAACCCCCCTCCCCCCCCCCCCCCCCCCCCCGTAGAATCTGCTCGCATTGAGCTGCTGTGAATACCCACTTCACCGATAATACCACCGCCATCTCTGCCTCACAATGGAGGTTTCGCAAGCGCTAAGCTACAACTCCGCTTTTCTAGCGCCGCTGAAACGTAGCCTCGTTATAAAAAATTTTTTGGACGCGCGCGTAAATCTCGGAGGCGGCTTTCGGTGAAGCTCGCCTCTGCGTCGTATGGTGCCGCGCGACGATTACCGCAGCCGCAGCCACCGCCTCCGCGGTTGACGCTGACGTGCAAACGCGAGAGGCCGCGGCAGAGAAAACGCCGTCAGCGCCGCCACCGCCCCATCTGCCGGCTTCGTGTCCGACCTGAAAGATGAGGAGGCCATTGTGTGTGTGGAGGGGGGGCCCCCAAATGAACCATCTGGTGCAGAGGCGGACTGGGCTGACGTGAATACCTCCCAAGACAAATGCGCGTGGAAGTGATTTGCGGGAGGCTTATTGTTGGCTTCCTTGTGAGCTCTCGCTCGCTCGCGCGCGCGCGCGCTCTCTCGACAAAAAAAAAAAATCCACCCATTACAAGAGTTGTGCTAAGTGGACGGAACTACAATAGACGCTTGAAAGGTGTGAGATGGGGTCACGCCTGGTACAAGACGCTTTGTAAATCCAATTTGTATTGTAGTTGCGCGTGTGATGTGATAATAATGACTTACAGAGCCCCTTGTCAATCCGCTGCCCACGGGGGATTGTTGAACCATACTTCGTCACAATGGTTAGTTGGTCAAAGTCAGAGCCATGGACCGGTTAAGATATTCAGATATCACTCTCTCGATGTTAGGCGTGCCTGTGAATTGATCTCTGCTTGCTGTGTTTACAGTGCAGTGCGCTGCCTGCATGTTGTGTGAGCAATGCCAATAATGTGTTTGGCAGAGTGCATTTATAAAATGTGCAGCTTTGCTGAAATGTAAGCTTTGCAGCCATTGACTATCCACTGTTTGGATGACAGCCACCTCTTGCTGTGTCACCATCTTGTACGTCTCTTATGATATTGCAATACAAAAATGATAACCGAAACAAATACAATTGGTAAAATTAAACTTGATTTGATGTGAAATAGCAGGGGTAGCTGTGGCACAGTAGTTGGAGCACAGCACTGTGAACCTGGAGAACCTGAGTTCGATTCCCAGCCGCAGACAACATCGGAGCGGGGAGTGATATACGAACCGGTCAATGCCCTCCTCGCCCCCCATCCTCTTCTCCAACCCGCTCTAACCAGGGTGAAGTACGGTCAAGCAACAATCCCCATGACCAACACGGCATTGGGTGACCATGCAGCAGTTGATTCGCAAAGAGCTGTAAACTGTTACCAAAAGTCTTAAGTGTGCTCCATTTACCGACATTGGCTCACCACCAAAGTGCCTTGGTTCACGTTGCACTTATTAGCGCCTGTTGTGCGCAGCATGGTTATATTTGAATGAGTCGACCAACCCTTTCAAACGGTGTGGTTTTGCTTTGGCAAATAGAAAAGAAATTCCCGCAGCTAGTGTTCATTCAGGGGGGGGGTCCTAATATCCCCTCAAGAATTATCTTTTTTTGAGGACAACAACTTAAATCCACATTAAAAAGTCACTAGCGCAAAGTAGAGACCACAGGTGAATTTTTTTTTAGTGTTGGCCGATAAAAACCCCACAGACGAATGGTCATTCGGAGGTCCGCACGGGAGGTGTGAACTCGACCCGAATAAGCGCGGGCGGTGGCAGGTACAACCCCCCCCCCCCCCCGCAAACACAAAGCAGCGTTACGGGGAGAAGAGGGGGCTTAATCCTCGCGGGGAGGGAGGCCGCTGATAGGTGTGTGTGTGCGCGAGAAGGTATTTGTATGTGCGTCTCGCACTTCCTTCTCCCACTGCTCCGTTTGGCTCTAACAAAAGCTCGCCGAGGGGGGGTGGGGGGTCGCGCTGCCCCCGAATTCCCCCCCCCCCCCCCCCCCTCGGCTTTGCCGATGAAAAGCGTCGCGGCAAATTCCATTCCGCGAGAAAATTTTTGTCAGAGGGTGGGGGTTGGCGAAAGTGGCCTGTCCGTCAAAACCCCATTCCTGCCCGATTCCTTTCACTCTATTTGTCCCGAAAACTTCCCGGCAAATAGCGGTTATTGTGCGATAAACTGCTATTGTCGTGCCCGGTGAGGCCGTTTCCTGTGCGGTTAATTGGGTTTTATTCGTCAAAGCTGGTTATTATCCATTAATTGCTGTTAACTAGGGTGGAAGATGATGCCCGGGGAGTGCTTGTCTTTTGGGCGACAAAGGCCAGGGCTGCAAACAAAGGCGGGTTCAGCCGTCTGTGTGTTTTGGAAAGTGCCCAAGCGGCTGCGTTGAATTTGGGGGCCTGTTTATCAGCTTATGTCGCTCGCCCGCTCTGATTATTTTGGGCTTAGAGCGCGTCTGGGGCCAGGGCCTGTCATTCACACCACAGCCAGGGTCCTCCCGCGTCCCACACACACACACACACCCCGCTCCCCCCCCCCCCCCCCAGCCGCAGATGCGAGTGCGGCGGCGTGGAGGCCCTTGAGTGTGCAGCGATGCAGCGTCGATCGGTGCGAGCCCCGAGGAGCCCAGGGTCGTGCCGTGCGCAGTGCGCCCCATTTAGAGGCGTGAATAGCCTCCGATGCCTCATTCTTGCCCAATTTCAAAAGCATTCTACTGCCCGTGTTGTGTGTGTTTTTTTTTATATCCCCGCTCACACTCTTCGTGGACGTGTCGTCTTCCACCGCTTGCCGCCCCCTCATCCTGCTCGAGTCTGCCCTTGGCTCTCTGGCGAGCGCGACAATGCTTCGATAATAATCTATTATTGTGTCGGCGGTGTATACGTGTGTCGAGTCGCGTGCGCGTATACGAATCGGCACCTTCCCCAACAGTCTGAAGGCTGTACGGGGTTATTCGTCTCAGTATGAATCCGTTATTTATGATTTACACAAATTGTACGCGCGTCACATGCGACCGTGTTACGTTTGGGCCAATGGAATTGACGAGACAGATGATAAGTCAGCGTGGACGGACGGAACGTATGAGGCAGACGACGGCAACGGGAGAGAACTTGCGCGGCAGACAGTACAAGATGAGGATTAGTGTTATAATGTCGCACAAGGCGAGGTGGTGCAAATGCAACGCGAGGCAGGCGACACACAAACGACTCGGAGGCAAAACTGCACCACAAAAGAGCCGAAGAATACAAAATCAGACGTACGTTGACTCAGCCCAGAGAGCCGTCGCGAACGGTGGAAGTAGTGCAACGAGACTCGCCGTGGAAGTAAAAAAGAATACAAAAAATACAACACCCGAGACAATGCGAGATGATTCTTCGTTTGAATCGCGTGAGAAATTTTATCTGCGGCTGAATTGCTGCTACCCAGCCCGGTGTCTCCTACCTCGCCCTTTCCGTTGCCGCTCTTTGCCGACGCCGGTTTATTATAAAGCCGTCGGAATCAGTTATTATAAAGCTGTCAAATTTCCAAGCGTGCGCAGGGGGAAAAAAAAACGTTGCCACGTTTTTTTAATTAATGAAATAACTCGATGTGTATTTTTAAATACAGATCACCGTCTGTAATTTTGCTACATACTGAGGAGCAATATTTATGAATTGCGTATGAACTATTTAATAATTGCCGTTAACTCAGGTAACGGCAATTAACTCGCTGTGTTCTCAGTAAAGGCGCCTTGCCTGAAACATCTGGAATGTTTTTGTTTTGCTTGTTAAAAGTGATCAGGCAGCTTTAATTTTTTTAATGTTTGTTTTTCCAATTATAACTCGAGATCCATAATTGGTGTGGGTATGAGCAGTGTCCCAAAAATACCTGTGGAGTAAATTTACCCTTTACGAAATGCAAATTTTGACTTTTGTTTTTTAAAAAAGGGGGTGACCTGACCTGGACAGCGGGGCAATTATTTTTTATTTTGCGGAGACAACCGATGGGCGGCCGCCACATTACTGCCGTCTGCACGGTGTACACCGAGCCAACGGCAGCTTGCACGAGGCGTTGTGCGTGTCCGGATGATGCGAAGAGACGGAGAGAGCAAGCGAGTGGGGAGGAGATTGCGCGCAACCACGTGGACGCATCCGTTGTGATGGACGTCGGCAGCGGTGCGCCCACAGTCAGAGCAATGTCAGAGCCATCCGTTGTCTTCTAAGTTGTTGTAATTTCCCCCCCCCCGCCGCCGCCAACGTGTTCGCGCGCACGCCTCTCTCTCTCTCTTTAACGTTTCCGCGCGTCCCCTGTCACCTCAGGCACTGCAACATGGTGCTGGAGAACGTGAAGGAGATGTGGACGGAGGTGCCGAAGAGCGGAAAGGGCAAGAAGAAGTCCAAGCCGGTGAACAAGGATCGCTACATCTCCAAGATGTTCCTCCGCGGAGACTCGGTCATCATCGTGCTCAGGAACCCGCTCACGAGCAGCAAATGAGACGGCCGAAGGGCTTCTACAGTTCCCTCTCAGGCACTGTCGGGTGTTCGCGCTGGCTGGCCGGTTGTCTGTTGTTGATCTGTCACGGCCAGGGGTCGGCAATGAAAGTAACAAGAAGCGCCGTTTATTTTTTTCCCTTTCAAAATTCGGTAATAAAAAAAAAACTCATTATTTCAAGAGCCCGCAATACGCACGTGACTACGAGACACGGGGTGGCCCTTGATCATTAACGTCAAGAAGCCCGCAGGTTGCCGACCCTCCCCCCCCACCCCCGGTCATGGCTGTCGACAATTAAGTTGGCCGGTGGGCAGCCCAAGTCAGCCGGTTCGTGAGTCACAGCGTTCAGTTGGTGGGTTTTGTCAATATTTTAGTGTCGGCCATTCAGCCAGTTTTTTTACGTCGACCAGTCGGTCAATCTGCCAGTCAAGTCATTCAGTATGTCCGTCGTATTTTTTTTTGTTTTCAGCCGGTCAGTGTGTTTGTCAAGCCTGTCTCGTCAGTCAAGCGCGGTCGTCTTTTTTTTACATTTGTTCCAACAAGCTGATCAGAGGAGGAGACCTGGTATGCGATAGATCTATTTAATATACGGAAAAGTAGGGGAGCAGGAAACGGGAATGAAAAAGCGAAAAACATAAAAACCCATTATAACCGTGCGGGCTCGTGAAGAGCTTTAATGGGGGGGAATGTCTGTTGTGGATAACGATGTTTATATACTGGAGAGAGTGCAGCAATGTGCGTTGTCTCCAGTTGTACTGTTTTTTTGGCCTTTAATAAACTTTTGATTCTTTTTTTTCAATAACCGCTCACGATTTTGTGCCGTAGCGTCGCGCCCTTCTTTCACACAATTTCTAGTTCGCCGCACGACGGAAAAAAGCGACATTGAACGAGGATCGCCAAGTGACGTTTTTGTAATCCCCCCTCACCCTCCCATCAGCAGGAAAGGTCGATGTCCGTTCGCGACTTGGCGTCTCTCTCGCGAAGAGCGGGGGGGAAGAGGGAAGGAGGCCCACACGCAGATTTCTCCGCTCGTAATCTCTGCAAAACTATTTACGCGCGGGTGCCACGCGAAGGCATTTGCATTTTATTTATTTTTAATTTTCAACGGCTGTACTTCATACGTGTCAGCACGGAGCCGAATTTAATTACCGTAAGCGCCTTTGAATATCCTGGCTTTTTTAGCATTAATGCTCCTATCAACACCGCATTTAGCTCCGCAAGGTTATTGTTAAATGTGGCATTGGTGTGACTAATGCATTTTTGTGTCAAAACATGAGCCCTTGCTTGTCACGAGGTGAGCGGGATTCTGCGACCCGACCTTTAAAAAAATAAAAGGGGGATGGGAACACCTCCCTGAGCTTCCCCGCAGCCTCGCCACCTTTGAAAACTGACACTTTACAGACGACGTTAATTGTCCTCCAGTACAATACCTAAACAGGCTGTCGGGGCGGGATTAATAGTTTTGATGTACGCGTTGCTTCCAGGCGCGATATAAAGTATCACAGCGTGACGGATACCAGAGTAGCTCGTGCGTGCATGCGTCTGCGCGTGCCCGCAGGCAGTTGTCATCGCTGTCACTTAGGAGCTCCGTTCGAGTCGCCGCGCTCCCAGTTTGGGTTACACGACGCCACCCCCCACCCCCCCGCTTGAGCCAGCGCCTGTGCGTGCCCCAACACGGCTCGTTTCCCGGTCGCCCTCGCAATTAAAAGCAAAGATCCCGGAGCCCAGAAGCGCTCCCCCCCCCCCCCTCCTTCCCCACCCGCACGTGAATGAGACGAAGAAGAATGCTGTTATTTCAAACTTGTCAGGATCGATTACAAAGTTTGTGGGATAATGTATGTTTTGGTGCGCGGGTTTTTAACGCTGAACCCTCGCGTCCTTCTGCGGGCCCTGATTGACGTGGCGTGGGTGTTGAAACTTTTAAAGGTTAAACAGACACGGCGGTAGCAGACCCCAGCCAGCTCGCTCTCTAGCCTGCCCACCGACTACTCACCTGCTCACCCACTCGCCTGCTCACCCACTACGCACCTGCTCACCGACTACTCACCTGCTCACCCACTCACCTGCTCACCCACTACTCACCTGCTCACCGACTACTCACCTGCTAACCCACTACTCACCTGCTCACCCACTCGCCTGCCCACCGACTACTCATCTGCTCACCCACTCGCCTGCTCATCCGCTCATCTTCTCACCCGCTCGCCTGCTCACCCACTCATCTGCTCACCCACGCATCTGCTTATTTACGCATCTGCTCACCCACGCATCTGCTCACCGCCGCGGTGAATTCTCCCTCCCATGCCGTTCCTGCTTTTAACGATATGAGAATTCGTTACCCCTCCACAGGGGAGTGCCACCACCACCGTACCAACTGGGCACCTGACGCCCGCCATCCAACAAAAACACCGCATCAACGGCAGCGGATTCCCCTTGCCCAGCGGATCGACGAGCTGCCGTCACGAGTCGTTCTGACAATCCGTCGTTTCGTCTTTTTATTACACACATTAACTCACTTTGTTGTATCCTCAAATCTTCTAACTAGATTTTTACCCAGTTCCCAATGTGGTATCGACTGCAAACTTGGTATACGTATGTCATACTGATGACAATACTATATTCTATCATTAAAAATATAACAAATTTTTTTAACATTTGTTATACGTTATGTTTCGGCTTGGGTCTAATTGTCCACGCTCAACTGACGTTGGCTGTAAATCACCACGGTCCCCTTACGTTGTAGCAAGCTTCGGGGCCACTTCCTGGAGTCGTGGAGTTCTGCCATTACTAGTACATTTCATTAAAGCGTGTTTTAAAAAAAAAAAGTTTTTTTATATATATTACTTATTTGTTTGCCAAATTAATTCTTCGGAATGGTTTCCCTCCCGTTAACCTCGATGGTGACGTTTCCATCGCGCGAAGCATCATTGTCCACCACCACTGTCAACGTGAGCTGTGAGCAATCCACTGCAGGGCGCAGACCTCCGACTGTAGCCGTCTCCCAGGGGGCCCCTGGGTTGTAGCGATGTTCGCACGTCGAATTTTCTTCGCGCCGTGCGTCGCCGGCGATGCTGATCGGAGGTGCGGGGGAAGGCCAAACTAAAACGCAAAAAAAAGCATTTCTAAAGAAATTAATGTTCAATCTCGATTCAAAAGTGGCACAGCTACCAGTGGCTTCCTAAATATCGGAAGGAAGAGCGTTCCAGACGGCCGCAGAAGCGGGGTCCGTCTTTGTTCGATGTGACAGCCAATAGCCGCTGCGGGGATGAGCGTAGTTCGCGCGATGATGGTTATTGCTGCTTGACGAGCTCAGCGAGGTTTTGTGGTTCATTTGTGGCCAAGCACTTTGTGTCTAACGAGTGCGAGCTGATTGCGTTGCGTACGGGATTCGCATGTCATTTGCATTCCATTCGCATGTCATTCGCATCACCCGTAAACATGCCTTGTTCTTCTTGCGCGATGCGATGCGTGGATTGCGAGCGTAAGAATCCTAATGGGTTGACTGCTTCGCGTGAACACAGTCAACACGCACTCGGCAGGCAGGGTGGCCCGAAAGTCAGGACACAGGGTTGGATGCATAGGTTCATGGAATTTGAGTGTTCTGATAGGTGAATGAATGCGCGCGTGCATGATGGAACGTGCGGTTGGGTGTGAGGGATTAATGAATAGTTGATTGGACGAATAGATGGGTGGATGTGTCGGTGCAAGAAAGGATGGATTGGTGGTTGGTTGGATAGATTGGCATTGTCATGAGTCACATGAACGGATGGATGGATGTGTACTCGGCCCATTTAAATGTGATGACGCGTGGGTATGGTTGCATCGATTAATCGGACGCCTGCGTTTTCGTGGCGACGAGTCGACGAACGGATGGGATTGGTGGATAGGTCGTTGAATAAGGGAATTAATGAATGGCCATTGAGATGAGTGATCGAATACATTAATAAATAAATGGGCGAGTAGTTTAATTAGGGGATGTGGAAGAAAGAATGAAAGGACGACTGTGTAAATGAATGAATGACTGATGTGAATTTATGGATGGGCAATGACTCAGGCCTCTCCTCTCTTTCTCAACATCTCGACACCAAAGCAAAAACCCGGCACCCCTCGGCTGTTGGCGTGCGAGTTTGAGCCCGGGGTAAGGAAGCCCTCCGAGTCGGGTTCCGCGCTGCCGCACACACAGACAAAGGTCCCCCGTGTAGCCTCAACAGACCGTTGGGGCAAGTGCTGTTAGCGAGCACCTTACCTGGTTAAATATATATTTGTCTTCTTGGTTCTTTTCGTAAATTCACGTAGAATGGAAATAAAATAATAAAAATAAAACAAAATAAAATTCTCACGACGTCTCGGCCACAACACAAGAAGTCACGTAGAATGGAAATAAAATAATACAAATAAAACATAATAAAATAAAATTCTTACGACGTTTCGGCCACAACACAAGTAGCCTTCTTGTGTTGTGGCCGAAACGTGAGAATTTTATTTTATGTTTTATTTGTATTATTTTATTTCCATTCTACGTGACTTTACCGAAAGAACCAAGAAGATGAATCCCTGCAGTCACGAAAGCTTTAAATCGAAATATATATCTGTTTAAATAAGAAAAATGTGTTGCAGTAGCACTCGAATGGGGTTGATGTGGCCAACACCACGCCCGGCCGCCTTTGTCTCCCCAGTGGCGACGTTCACGCAGCGCACCAGGTACTCATTTGAGGTTGAGTCGACCTTGGGGGATTCCCAGCGCCGGCTATGAATATTTGCCACTGCTTTTATCGATCGTGAGTTGGGAATGGAACTCGGCTCGACCGCGCGCGCGCACACACACACAGACTTGCACGGGCGCACCCACGCAGCACATAGTTTGTGCGCTGTATTATGAACGTTAATATTATTTTTATTAGTATTTCATTACCGCCGCGTGCTATTCTATTAGAGAGATTAATGTCATCAGTGTTTCGAGCCCCGTGTTGGGTTTCTCGCGAGGTGCAGGGACCGCGGGGCCCCCGCGAGAAGGCGAGGCCGGGACACGTGACGGGTGGCGTCTGTGTGTATGTGTGTGTATGTGTGAGTGTGTATGTGGCCTCAAGGTGCACATGGCCTGGCACAAGCGTCGTGGTGACGTCACCGCCAATTAGTGGCGAATGGCGGTTGTTGTTGTATGTGTGTGAGTGTGTGTAAATGTGAGTGTGTGTGTGTGAGTGTGAGTGAGTGTGTGTGAGTGAGTGTGTATGTTTGTGCATGAGTGTGTATGTTTGTGCGTGAGTGTGTATGTGTGAGTGTGCTGGCCACCCACCCCCTCGTGTACCGTTCCGGCCTTCATAGGTGCTCGCTAACAGCACTTGCCCCTACAGTCTGTTAAGGCTATATGGGGGCTCTTTGTCTTTGTGTATGTGTGTGAGTCTGTATGTGTGTGAGTGTGTACGTGAGTCTGTATGAGTGTGTTAGTCTATATGCGTTTAAGTGAGTGTTTGCATCCGTATGTGTGTGAGTGTATGTCTGTGAGTGTGTCTGAGTCTTTTTGTGTGTGAGTGTGGTTTTGTGAGTGTATGTGTGAGTGAGTGTGCATGTGTGTGTGTTTATTGGTGAGTGCGTGCGTCTGTAGTTGCTCGAGAAACAGCACTTGCCCCAACAGTCAGTGAAGACTATACGGGGGACCTTTGTCTTTGTAATCTCTGTAATGCTGGGGGGGGGGGGGGGAGGTGGGGTGGTAGAGACAACCTCACGTTTCACACCGGAGGGGTTCTCTTCGAGAACAAAAAACGCCTCAAGCATTTCCGCAAGATTCCCATTGTAAATCTCTGCCGC